TGGCTGGTAAGAAAGGGCCTGGGAGTTGCTCTAGCACCTCATGCATGTACGACCTCTTTGAAGCCTGAGTAGCTGGAGACACAGGGCCTTTATCTTGTTTAGAAGTAGAGAATAGAGCTGGCTGCACTTGTGAGGTCTCCTGAAGTGGTCTGGGGTAGCAAGACTACTGAAATCTAGGGTCCTAGCACCCATAGATACACATTAAGCTGAGCCTATTTTATATATGTTCTGCATTGTTTCATCACCTTTTTACTGTTTAACTTAGTTCACAAATGGACATCTGTGGTGGTTTGAGTAAGAATTGCCCCAGTGGGCTCATATATTTGAATGTTTATAGCACTATTTGAAAGGATTAAAAGTATTAGGAGGTGTGGCCTTGTTGGAGTAGGCATGGCCTTGTTGAAGGAAATGTGTCACTTGGGGGTGGGTTTTGAGATTTCTAACTTGATCTGTCTTTGTCTCTGTCTCTCTCTCTCTGCCTACAGATCAGGATGTAGCTCTCAGCTACTGCTCTAGCACCTGCCTGTATGATAATGGACTAAACCTCTGAAACTGTAGGCAAACTCTCCATTAAATGCCTTCTTTCATAAGAGTTGCCCTGGTCATGGTGTCTTCAAAGCAACAGAACACTGACTGAAACAACATCTTTCTGGATTCTTGACTGTCCCTCTAATTCTTTGTAAATCACCATCCCTGAGATTTTTTTTCCCTTTTCTATATTTGTGTTACCATTTCTGTTAGAACAAAAGCAGTAATTCACTCATAATTATAGAATACATTATATATTACACATATTTATATGCATTTTTATGGTGTTAAAGACTGAACCCAGGGCTTCTTATGAATATTCTCTGATACTAAGTTACATCCCAGCGCTAATAGGAATGGTCTTAAATAATCAGTATTTTCCTCCTTGAATAGATGAACATAGAAACCATAACCAGTTCACTGGGCAACTAACACTGGCTTCAGTTAGGGAGACCATCCCATGTTCTGGACTTCACTGCTTTTTAGAAATGGTAGAATCTGTCTCTTTCCTTTTGACTTTCCAAATCCGAAGACTTTTTGGGGGGGGTTTTGTTTGTTTGTTTTAGTTTTTGGTTTTTCCAAGACAGGGTTTCTCTAGAAGCCCTGGTCCATCCTGGAACTCACTCTGTAGACCAGGCTGGGCTCAAACTCAGAGATTCACCTGCCTCTGCCCCCTGAGTGCTGGGGTTAAAGGCGTGCGCCAAGACAGTTTTTGACTATCCCTTCTCTTCTGTTTTATTCTTTTCTCTGCTCTTGAGGAAGATTTGGGAGCTCCAGAAAAAAAGCATATGAGTTAGGGGCTCAGGGAGAAAAGGAAAGTCTCCATATCCTGCTCTCAACTCCACTCTTATCTCCTTACACTGTCTCTGTTCTCTTCAGTAATCCTTGGCTCTCTATAAACTTTCATGATTTTTGGCTTTAGAATCATGTTCTGGAAATGTAACTTCATTAAGCCTTGCATTTTTGATCATTTACACATAAATCCATCCCTGCAAAAGAAATGGGAGAAGCATGGAGCCAAGTTGGAGTGGGGTGGCTAGAAAGGACAGATGTTTAACCTAGCTTACAATTTTACCTAGTATATTTTCACTTGCTGAACTAATACATGAGAGCTCCTCCCCATCCCCAGCCCTGTCTTTTATTTATATAATATTCTTTTAATGAGAGAAAAAAATTTCTGTTTTGTGAAAGATTTGTGTGTGTGTGTGTGTGTGTGTGTGTGTGTGTGTGTGTGTGTGTGTGTAAGTACTTACAGAGGCCAGAAGAGGACATTGGATCCCCTGGAGCTGGAGTTACAGGTGGTTGTGAGCCAACCAACAGGGGTGCAGAAAACCAAGCTAACTGCTGAACCCTATCTCCAGTACTGCCCCCCCCCCCTTTTTGAGACAGGGTCTAATATAGCCCAGGCTGATCTTGAGTGGAGTAAGCCATCATGCCCCACAAGAATATCTTACAAAATAGGTGTCTCAGTAAAAGGCAGGAAAGCAAAGCAGTTATTAAAAAAAAGGGAGAATTGAAAATAATAAAGACATGGGTGTGTCAGTAAGAGAAAATGAACAATATATTTAATATGTAGTATTAAAATGACATGGTACTGTTTTGAATATTTATTTCAGCATATCACAAAACTAAAGCCTAGACCTTTTGTTTCATACGTTTTTTTAAAAAAATCAATAGGACAGCTTTATATAAAAATAACAGAGCTATCAAGATTTAATACATGTGTTAGTATTATCACTATTATCATCACTAGTAGGCACTTATAAAAGTTCCCAGCTTCTGAGGTAGTTCAGGAATCAGCAGTCCTTTGTCTCTCAGCGTGTACTTCTATGAATTTTAACTAACAAATATAAATAAAATAAGCATTGTTATGCTTGAGACCATCTGTTGGTGGCATTAGTAAGAAAATAAAAAATCTACTTGGTGGGAAAGGGACTTCAGCACAAAATATGAGAAAGAAAAGGGGTCATTCAGTCTTTTTCTTGCCACTAGAGAGCTAAACTATATCCTCAGCTTAGTTTCTGTAATCATAATCTCTTTACATTTTTGGATTTAAAAAGGGAATTCATCACTCTTTCTGTAACAGAGTCTTGCTAATATATAGCTCTGCCTGGCCTGGAATTTGCTATATAGATCAGCCTTGAACTTGTGACTTTTCTCTCACCTCTGCCTTACAAGTGCTGGGATATAAGCATAAGACACCATGCCTGGCTTATTCTCTCATTTTTTAAATATGGAAATTTAAAGATGAGTATCTTTTCATCCCTACAGGTCTGTTTCTACCCTGAGAATGGAGCAGTTCATGAAATCAAACCAAGGACTGAAAAAAGGTTCAAGAAAACCACTAGTTTTTATATAACTCCATTATCTTTACAGTACAGGATGGATGGATATTCTGTGATCAAAATGTACAGTATGCTAACTTTAGGAAATACGTGGCCAGTCCTTGAATTTGATAAAACACTGGAGGCTCAATATCACTAAAACATATTTGGTTGCATGAGTTTTTTTGGAGCACAAATTCAGCAACTGAGATGAACTGTAGAGCAGAACTGTGTTTATTCCCATTTGCAAGAAAGAGCAGATGGAGAAGAATACAGCAGGGTAACCAAGGATGTGGGTGTAGGAGTCAGAATACTTGGGTAATCATGGCTTTGCCATTTACTAGTTGTGTGACCCAGAGCAACTCACTTTCATGTTTGTCTCCTCAGTTTCTCTCCATCTGCAAAATAAAGGTAACAATGAAGTGAATTAATAATTAAAAGGGTTAATTATATAATATGCTCAGAGTTAGGCTGATTGTGAACTCTCAATAAGCTGCTATTCATTTTTATTGGATAATCTAGAAAACAGACTAGTTCAGAAGTAGATAGAGCTGGTTTCCTAAAAGGAGCCAAAGAGAATATGGTGAGGAATGAATGTAATTCAAATGTATGTTTAGTTAGCATTCATTGCAGTTTTAAATGTAGTGATTTAGATATATATATTCTGCTCTGACTCAGAGTGAAGATTTAAGTAGGGATGTCCAATGTGACACTGTCATCTAGGATGCCTGTGCCCTGCAGCCTATATATAGGTTGGACATACCTAAATCTATCAGGCAACTAAGGTCTTCATTTTGAACCTCCTGGAGCTACACCTAGCATATTGCCACTTTCCACTCACTATGAACCATCGAGGGATTTGGTCCTAAAGACATCTCAGCAGAGAGAGAGCAATGAAAGTTGGGAAAGAGGGTGAATAAAGATTGAGAATGCTTACTGAACAACACAAACAATGCAATTCACTATTGGATGTAGTTCTTCATCTGCCAGTTGCTGTAGCAGGAATCTTAACAGGTCTTATTAGTAAAAACAAACCCAGAACCAGGTATTGGGGTGAACGCTGAATGATCAGAGAAACAGAACACACCACAGCCAACCTCCTCTCACTATCTTCTCAGCTGATCCTGTTTCCTCAGACTAAAAGCCTCTGTGTCCTCATCCAAATGGATCTCAGCTGAACTGCTGCCAAAAGCTTAACAGCTCTCTATTTCCTGGTCCTCATGCCTTATATACCTTTCTGCTTCCTGCCATCACTTCCTGGGGTTAAAGGCATGTGTCACCATGCCTGGCTGTTTCCAGTGTAGCTGTGAACTCAGAGATCCAGATGGATCTCTGCCTGCTGAATGCTAGGATAAAGGCGAGTGCTATCACTGCCTAACCTCTATGTTTAATATTGTGGCTGTTCTGTTCTCTGACCCCCAGATAAGTTTATTAGGGTGAACAATATATTGGGGAACACAATATTGCCACAAGTTGTCACATTTCCTTTTTCTCTCCGTATCACCCCAAGAGGTTTCTTTTGTCCCATAGAGTTCAGCTCTGGCTTTCTGCTTAGATTTCTCCACTAAATAATAGCTTGGAAGTCAGACTTTGTACCTCATTTCTAGTATGTTCCTTCTATGTGCAGTCATCAAGGTATTTATTCAACTAATCTGTTTCTCCTTTTTTTATGTGCATTGGTGTTTGCCTGCATGTATATCTGTGAAAGGGTGTCAGATCTTGGAGTCAGAGACAGTTGTAAGCCTCCATGTGGATGCTGGGAATTGAACCCTGGTCCTCTGGAAGAGCAGTCAGTGCTCTTAACCCATGAGTCATCTCTCCAACCCAACTAATCTGTTTCTTAGAAAAATTCATCTTCTGAGAACCTTTTCTTCACTTGTATTAAACTGGGCAGTGGGTAGTAAACAGACTCCATCTTAGAGCTATCTAGGACCTGGCAGCAGTAGTTGGAGAAATTAGGAACACTGGGGAAAAGGAGTGGGAACTTTGTATGTACTGTGATAGAGTCAGCATTATACCCTATCAGAATTTTGTTATTGCTCACAGGCTTCAAAAGGAATTGGAAAAGAGAAAGGCTTTACGAGATTTTATAAAATATTAGGTATGAAAATGTAAAAATAGACTGGTATCTCTTGTCCTTAAGATTTGTAGACGAGAGTGAGCGGGACGTCCGTCCGTCTTCGGTTCGTAGCGATCGTGGTGTTGATCACCCGGGAGCGAAATAAAAATGGGTGATGTTGAGAAAGGCAAGAAGATTTTTGTTCAGAAGTGTGCCCAGTGCCACACTGTGGAAAAGGGAGGCAAGCATAAGACTGGACCAAATCTCCATGGTCTGTTTGGGAGGAAGACTGGTCAGGCCGCTGGATTCTCGTACACAGATGCCAACAAGAACAAAGGCATCACCTGGGGAGAGGACACCCTGATGGAGTATTTGGAGAATCCCAAAAAGTACATCCCTGGAACAAAAATGATCTTCGCTGGAATTAAGAAGAAGGGAGAAAGGGCAGACCTAATAGCTTATCTTAAAAAGGCTACTAATGAGTAATTCCACTGCCTTATTTATTACAAAACAAATGTCTCATGGCTTTTAATGTGTACCATAATTTAATTCATACATCAAAATTCAGATCATGAATGGCTAACAATGTTTTTGTTGGGACGGTCCTGATTTAAGTAAAAATGACTTATAGTAAAAAAAAAAAAAAAAAAAAAAAAAAAGATTTGTAGACGATCAGTCACCCTTGACAAGAGAGCCATCACTACTAACACTGCAACACTGTCATTTACTTGGAATTGTTCTTTTCTCTTCTTTGTTGTTGTTACTTAAGGATTGTTTTGTGTTTATACAGAGTTTTACTGTGTAGCCCTGGCTGGCCCAGAACTGGCTATGTAGCCCAGGCTGGCCTAGAACTTCAGGGATCTGCCTGCCTCTGCCTCCTGAGTGCTGGGATTAAAGGTGGGCACATAAGTCTTATTTTTTGATAGAATATAACAGACTCTCATGAAGTAGAAACTGGCCTCAAACTCACTGTGAATCTCAATTTCTTAATTAATTCTTAAATGGTCTTCAATTCCTGATTCTCCTGCCTCAGTCTCCCAAGTGCTGGGGTTACACGTGTGTTTTTGTGCACTGAACCCAAGTGCTGGGGTTACCTGTTTGTTTTTGTGCACTGAACCCAGGGCCTCTCATATGTTGGGCATGCACACTTCCACTCTGCCATTGACTTATATCCCTGGCCCTGGAGTATCTCCCCCACCTCTCTGTATCTCTAAAGCAGTCATCAGCACTTAAATTTTGTGGATGTCTGCATGACTCAAACTCACTACAATTTTTACTATATTTTCAAATTTAAACCAAGAACTTAACTCCCTGGTACATTTAACTACTAACATGTTTTTTAAGTGGTGATTATGTTGGAGGTAACTAACTGCATGGAAGTAGCTTCATGCTAGGGTTGCCTAAGTCTGAAAGAAAAACAAGGGAATGCAGGCTGGCAAGATCAATTTAGTGGGCAAACATATTTGCTACCAAGGCTGACAACCTATGTTTGATCCTTGGGATGGATGCACATTATGGAAAGAGGACCAACTCCCACAAGCTGTCCTCTGACCTCCACATGCGCACACTCACAGATACATTTGAAAAAAGAAAGAAAATGGGATGTGTTTATCACTTCTGGGGTTTCTGAAAGGTTCGTTCTTACCTGCTGTCATGTGCTTTGCATTCTAAGTATGAAGACAGCCACAGAGCTTCCTCAACCAGGAAACCCTTATCTGGGATTCTGACTCATTCCACACCCTCTGGATTCGGAACAGGGCCTGGGAGGCGATGATCCGCAAAGAGGGCTCAGGGTCGTGTAACAGTTCTCTCAGATCTACATGGAAGAAAACCAAGACTGGAGGTTTCTAGAAATGAGTACTGTTCTGGACACCAAGTAGCCAACAAACCAGAGCAGCTGGGATAAAAGGGCAACTTTTACAGAGCTGTATGAAAGTCTGTAGATTGGTGCATTGATTCCAATTTTGATCTGTAACACACTGTTTTCTTAATTACTAAGTATTTCATTCCTTTGCGATAGCCATATTTTAAGTAGTCTATCTAAAATACACTTATCTGAGCCTGCCAAGCTATGTCTAATGTTAACCTCTTCTTGCCTTACTCTAAAGAAAATGTTAACTCTTAAATCATTATTCCCTTGGAATATTTTTCTTTCTTTATTTGTCCTTTCTTTTCCTTCCTTCCTTCCTTCCTTCCTTCCTTCCTTCCTTCCTTCCTTCTTTCCTTCTTTCCTTCCTTTCTCCCTTCCTCCCTCTCTTTCACTATGTAGCTCTGGCTGTCCTAGAACCTACTATGTAGACTGGGCTAGACTCAAACTCATAAAGATCTACCTACCTCTGCCTCTCAGGTGCTAGGATTAAAGGCAGGTACCACTGTGTCTGGCTAGTTTTCATTTTTTTTTGTCTTGGTGTTTTGTTGTTTTGTTTTGTTTTTCCAGGCCAAACTGTATCCAGCTTTATTAAAGATACTTTTCATAAACAATCATGGTTTTTCAGGCAAGACCTGGGCAGACAATCATTAACAGAATACAAGAGCTTCCAAACTCCCTTCTTGTATAGACTACCAAAATCAGAAAGCCACTATAAAACCTGATGAGTCTTCATTCGATGCTTTGAAAAGGGGGAGAGCTTAGAGTGAGGGCTGACAGTTCACATTGAGGATGTTGTTTAACAACTTTTCCCAAGCCGACCCTGACTTTCAGGAAATGAAACAAACACGGCAAAATTATCAATCTGAAGATCCACAATCTTTTATAAAAGGAACCACTGTTCTTCTGAGGACACAACAATACCACAGCAAAGTAGAGATTGCCTGATAGACCGGCAAAACCAATTTTGGGGGTCAGGTTCCAACAGGTCTCTGGTTTGAAGGGAGTTAAATCTATGTTGATGGTACAGGGGAGGAAGACACAGAAATGAATTTAGAGTTTCCCACACAAGGCATTTTGTGCCATGGTGGCACATATGTCAACACCAGGATGTCTCTCCTGAGAGCCAAGAGGAGTCTTTCAAAATCATCAGGGAAAGATGTTTTCCAACATCAGCCATCATCAATCCAGCTTGGGAGACATTTTGTTAGTGACACATGTTCCTCCCGCGCCCTCCCCCCCAACAATGAAGTGTTCTATGTGCTAACAACATAGCTTAAAAAAAAAGTAAAACAAAATTCTGCATTTTTATAAAACTTGATAAAAAATAGTATTTCAAACTGTACAGTCAACCGAAGTACAGTTATCAAAAATGCACACATCTCACTTGGTGTCTCCAGCACCGTCAGCTTTCTGTGCCTGGTCTGCCTTGGTGTCTCCATTACTCTCACCCTTACCAGCATCGGCTTTCCCCTTCTTCCCCTTGGGGACCTTCTCCCCCTTCTTTACAGGGGCCTTTTTAGGCGTGGGTTCTGTGCTGTGGGATGGTCTGTATGGCAAATGTGTTGCTGATTGGTCAATAAATAAATCACTGATTGGTCAGTGGCCAGGCAGGAAGTATAGGCTGGACAAAGAGGAGAAAAAACTGGGAAGTGGAAGGCTGAGTCAGAGAGACACCGCCAGCCACCATGATGAGAAACAGCATGTGAAGATGCCGGTAAGCCACAAGCCACGTGGCAAGGTATAGATTAATAGAAATGGATTAATTTAAGCTGTAAGAACAGTTAGCAAGAAGCCTGTCACGGCCATACAGTTTGTAACCAATATAAGTCTCTGTGTTTACTTGGTCGGGTCTGAGCGGTTGTAGGACTGGCGGGTGGCAGAGATTTATCCTGACTGTGGGCCAGGCAGGAAAACTCAAGCTACAGTTCTGGCTTTGGAGGAGCAGGTTTAGCAGACAACCTTGCAGATCTTCTCTGTGGCTCATCCTTCACCTTGGCTTCATCTCCTTTAGTATTCCCTTCAGCCTTTCTTTTGGGCATGGCGGTGGCGGGGGACGTCAGTGCTGTTTTTTTGTTTTGTTTTGTTGAGGCGGGTTTTTTGTGTACCCTTGGTTGTCCTGGAAGTAGCTCTGTAGACCTCACAGAGATCCGCCTGCCTCTGCCTCATGAGTGCTGGGATTAAAGGTGTGCCCACCACCGCCTGGCATATTTTTACCATTTTTAATGGCTTGTTTTGTTTTGTTTTGAGACAGGTTCTCCCTTGGTTGCCCAAGCTAAATTTGAATGGCCATTCCTCTGCCTTAGCCTACCATGTCGCTGAGATATCAGACACAAACTACCATGCCCAGTTTAAAGTTTTAGCTTTTATATTTTCCTATGGCAAAAGAAGTTCATGTTTGTTATATAGAAAACTCAGATAATACATGTAAGTACCAGAAGGATATAAGTGGTGTATGATTCTACCACTTAGAGATAGAATGTTGTTTTGAAAGTATGTCTTTCAGCAGGGTGGTGGTGGCACACTCCTTTAATCCCAGCACTCAGGAGGCAGATCTCTGAGTTCAAGGCCAGCCTAGTCCACTGATCAAGTTCCAGGACAGCTAAAGCTACACAGAAAAACCTTGTCTGGAAACATACAAACAAAAAGTATGTCTTCCTGATCTTTTTTTTTTCTATGCACTGTTTTGCTTCAATATTGTTGTCCAAATGGAATCGTATGATCTGAAAACTTTTTTTTTTTTTGAGATAGGGTCTTGGTATGACCTTGAACTCATGATCCCCCTGCCTTTACCTCCTGAGTTTGGATAATTGATTGTCTTATGGAATAATATCTCATTATTATCTGAGTCACTTCTGTGTGGGAATAGAACTTTTGTTCCCCAAGTGTTTTAGGTAAGAAATAAATCAGTCATATAGTATCCTACTCCACAGAATAATTTACACGACTTTCTTTTCTTTTCTTCTTTTTTGAAACAAGATTTCATTATACATAAGGCCTAGTCTGGCCTCAAACACACAATCTTCTTCCTCAGTGTCGCAAGTACTGGGATTATAGGTGTACTCCACCAAAGCTGGCTGGTTGTTGTTGCTGTTGTTTTAGAATATTTTAATATCTATGCAGAAATCGTAGATGTTAGTGAGAAATAGGTGGTAGATCAGGGCTCAGTAGTTAAGGGTACTTGCTGCTCTTGCAAAGGGCTTGGGTTCAGTTCCCAGCACCCACATGTTAGTTTATAACCTAGTGTAACTCTAGTTCCAAGAGATCTTGATGTCCTCTTCTGACCTCTGCAGGCACTGGATATGCACATATATGCAGGCAAAACACTCATATTCATAAAATAAATATTAAGAAAATTAGCAGTATCTGCCTTATATTAGCTTTATTCCCTACCTGTTTCAATAATTACTGTGTTTTTAAAAGTAGCAAATTGAGTCCTGCAAGATGACTTAGTGGAAGCTGGGTGGTGGTGACACACACCTTTAATTCCACCACTCAGGAGACAGAGGCAGGCGGATCTTTGAGTTTCAGGCTAGCCTGGTCTACAGAGTGAGTTCCAGGATAGCCAGGGCTACACAGAGAAACTCTATCTCAGAAAGAGAGAGAAAGAGAGAGAGAGAGAGAATGATATAGTGGGTAAAGCACTTGCTACCAAGCCTGACAAGTTAAGTTCAATCCCCATGACCCACATGGTTGAGGAAAAGAATCACTAACTCTTGTAGTTTATCCTCTTACTTCCATACTCATACTAAGTAAATAAAAAATTTTTAATTAAAAAAAAGCAAATTCTTTAGATTTTTAATTTGGTTATGAAAGTAGTGATTTGGATTGTGAGAATGTGCATTTGCATTTCTAACTATATACCTACCTTTCCCTCCCTCGCTAGGGATTGAACCTACAGCCTAATGCTAAGCTACCTCTGCACATATTAAACAAACATTGTAACACTAAACTATATCTCCAGATTTATTCAACTATTCTTAAATGGGAATAATAATTCTTTGAGCACTCAATCTGCACAGCTATGCAGTTACAGAAAGTTTCGCCCGCTGACAGTTCTGAAAGTGGTTCTCTGATGGTTGCCTTAGATAGCTATAAAGCGTCTTCAAGCTAAGTCCTACACTCTACAACACAGCTGCTTAGACAGCGGGGCAGTCTCTGAGGCTCTTGTAAGACATCACCATAATTTGTTAAGATAGATTTCTAGAAAGATGGTGTTTTACTTCCTGACACAGTTTAGCAGGACTTCCCCCTTAGTCCTTAAAGCTGGTTCCGGACAAACAAGATCGTACCCTTTCCTACGGGGTCTTAGACTAAGAGGAGACCACACTCTAACTGAATTACACTCACACGGGATCATACCCTCTCCTACGGGGTCTTAGACTAAGAGGAGACCACACTCTAACTGAATTACACTCACTTGTGCTTGCATTGCTGCATAAGCCCAGAGTTTTAGATGCCAGACTCAGCTGTGCTATGGAGCCTGCCCGTAGTCACAGAATCAGATACCTTCCAAAACAGTGCAGTCCACATCCAAGCAACGGCATTACTTACCATTCTCTATCCAGTCAATACCCTTCATCTTGAGCTCACTGGGATCCACATACTTTGATAAGATCCCTAAACACAAGACAATAAGCTTAGACTTTCACTGTTAGAAACTAAAAGTTTTTCATTTTTATCATTTAATAATCTAAGCAGATGGCAAAATTAGACTTTTGTTAATAAGGCATATTCAAAACAATACATTCCAGCCAGGCTTTCTGGCTCACACCTGTAATCCCAACACTTGAGAAGCTCAGGCATGAGAATTGCCATGAGTTCCAAGTTAGCCTTGAGTATACAATGAAACTATCTCAAAAGCTAAGCAGAGCCTTGATGGTAACATACATCTTTAATCCTAGCATTCAGGGAGCAGAGGCAGGTGGATCTATCTGAGTTCAAGGCAAGCCTGGTCTTCATATCAGTTTCAGACAAGCCAGGGCTATACAGTGAAAACCTGTTTCAAAAAATAACCAAAATACTAAGGAACAAGAGCCAGGAAGATGACTTAAAGAGCTAATGTCCTTGCTCATGAACCTGACACCCTGAGTTCCATTTCCAGATTCACAGTGGATGGAGAGCTAACTCTTATGAGCTCTGACCTCCACATACCCACCATGTCACCGACATGCTATGTCACCTACAAGCATACACACACATACAAACACTAAAGGTTTAAATATTAAAATAATATTCCCAAGTGTTTTATAGTTATTGGTCAATAATGCGGTTCCTTCTTCCTTGAAAGGATTTTCAAGGTCAACTACATAAAGATCATGCCTGATACTATAAGTCTGGTTTGAAGTTTGTGGCAGAGGAGGTCAGGCCCTAGAAAGAAGATATCATTTTTGCTTTGCTAGAGGGATTATTGTGGCCATCAAATTGTCAAATAAACACTTAGATTTATGCTCATAGATTAGTGCTACTGTCAGCTTTGATCAGAGAAAGTTTTTTTGTGTGTGTGTGTGGGGAGTGGGTAGGCATATTATTGGAGAAACTCATAGTGTCAGAGTGCTGATAATAAGACTATTGGGAGCCCTGAGACATCTGTCTCCCCAACCTGGGCTCAGGAAACACTGGAGAAGAGGGAGCTGAAGGAAGGTCTGAGTTGAAGGAACAGGTGTGTTGTAGAATATGTCTTCTAGACATTGCACTCATGAGCTCACAGCAGCTGTGATGGCCTGCATAAGACCTGCACAAGACTGGGCCCACCAGTATTCTGTCACCAAGGACTTAGGAGTCCCCACATACCCTTGAGGATTTCTAGGCAGTTCCTGGGGTAAGGGGTTTGTGAAGTCCTACACCTCCCTGAGGATCTATAGGCAGTTAATGGTTGCTTAAAGGGGTAACGTAAAGTATGAAACATTTTCCTTAGTGCTAGTCACTGAGTTACTCAGGCTCCTGTAAATAGCCCTTTACCCATGCTCCTATAGTAACCCTAATTAAACTCATTAAGTCACCAAAATAAAAGACATGAAAGTAGATGAGAGACAATTTGGGAAGAAGGGGATAAATGGGAATGGGTGAGGGATAAGAGGGTTATGGTGCAAATATGACTGCAATACATTCTATGTAAAGAAAAGACTGGGGATACTCAACACAAGGTGGGAAGGTATAGGATAATGTAACTATACAAATCAAAGTTTTCTTTTACCTATAAACAAGACAGCTGTTCTTCTGATGGGAAGTTTTGGATCCTTGGAATACATTAGTGTTTGGTCTAGGATGTTGATTTTCCCCTTGCTTTTTTCTCCCTAAGTTGATGGGAAGAGTATATAACAATAAAGTAGCAGGTGAGTACAGCAGTGCCTGAATTACTATAGTGAACGTCACAGTGACTGTTTGCCATGATAGCAAGCCCCTGTAAAGTTAGGTCCTCAGAATACCCACTGTGCACACCTGTCCATGATACCTTTAGGTCACCCTGGCTTCTCTGCACCTCTGTCTTCTCGCCTCTAAATGCCACCTTGAGTTTTAACTTCCCTACCAGCTCTTCCTGCCTCATCAGCCCAGCTCTGAGGACTCTGTAGGCTTCCTTTCCTGGCACATATTATTTTCCATTTGGAGTTTCTATTTTCGTTTCTTAGAAGTTTTCTGTCTCCTTAGTCATTTTCAGGTGCCAAACTAGAAATTTTAAAACTGGATTGCCATGACCTGCTACACAGAGGATGCATTTTGCTCTCTGGGTGAATGAGTGAACCTTTCAAGGGCCTCTTGGAAGGATAAGCACCTCACAAACAGACAAGAATTATTTCTCATAGAGCTTAAATCTGACATGGACAGTTTGCACTTTTACCCACTGGGAACAGCAAATTTCTTGTTGGAAATATTGTCATTAGTGCATCAACTATAGGTAATGGCTGAAGTTCAGAGACCTAATACCCAGGAAAAAGGCAAGGGCACTATAGTATGCTTCCTAGCCCTGCAAGTTTGATGAGAAGAGACCACGGGGGTTTTAGATATGTAGAAGATTCCTAGAAATCCCCAGAGACTTCAATGTGGGATCCAGGTGGTTCTACTATAATTGCTTTCTAGAAAACTATGCATGGACCTTCTAATGCTACCCTAGATCATATATGCTTTGCTGGGTTTGTAAAGAGAAGATGCTATCTGGGTCTCAGGGCTAGTGACATGCTGCCCTCTTTTTATCCGATCTTCTTATGGCAGTTCTTGCTTAGGGACTTATGCTCTAATGGAAAATAAGACAATCCACTATATCAAGCAAAGGGCTATAGACGTGAAGACAATGTATAATTTCAGTTCAGCTCACAAAGTCTCATTATGTAGCTCTGGGTGGCCTGAACAGCTTGGCTTGAACTTACAGAAATCCACCTACCTCTGCCTCCTGAGTGCTGGGATTAAAGGTGTGCACCACCAAGCCTAGCCCAAGTAAAAAATTTTGACTAGATACTATCAGTCTGACCTTGTAGTTTTTGATGCAATTAGTGGGGCTCTCTAGTTTATCAGTCATTTTGTTATTACTATTTTGAAACAAGGTCTTACTCTATAGCTCAACTTACCCTTAAACTCACACTGAGCCTCCTGACTCAGCCTCCTGAGTGATATTATTACAGGAATGTCCCACCATATCTTGTACCACCAGCTTTTTGCATATATGAAGAAATGTGTTAGTAGCAAATTTGTTGGCTAGTGAAATGGCCCAGTGGGTAAAAGTGCTTGCCATGCAAGCCTGAGGACTCAAGTTTGACCCCTGGGAGCCAGATGTGTGATTCCAGCATTCCCACAGTGAGATGGGAGATGGAGTAGGAGACCCTCTCACAATGTGGAAGGCAAGAACTGACTCCTGAAAGTTGTCCACTGACTTCTACTTGCACACTGTGGCAGACTCAATGTGTGTGTACATACACACACACACAAAATTTATAAAGTGTATTTGTGACTAATTGGGGGAACTATAGGGAAGAGATGTACCTAACTGAACAATTCATGGAGAGCAACTACTGCTGTGAAGGGGTGGGATGGGAAATGTTTCCCGCATGCCATGTGTCTCCATTAAAAACTATCAGAAAAAACAAAGCCACTCTTTCTCACATACAAAGAATTTGCAGACCCTTCTGACTTCATTTGGTTTGATGTATAAGGGATCTTTGCAGTACACTTCTCGGGGCAGCTTCCATTTCAAGAACTGGGCACATATAGTTAGCACTTGTCTACTCTCCTGTGGGGGAAAAGAGTATAACCGGTCAGCATTTTCAAACACTCTTGAACTGAGGTATATTTTCTTTAGTAAAACTGACACCAAAGTCTAATGTGAAAGGTTGATAATTCCAGAATTACTCTGGGTGAGGTGAGGAAAGGGGGTGAACTGGCACTCTGCCTTCCTCCTGAAGACCCTAAAGGACTCATAAACCTGCAAGGTGCCGAAAAGGATGTAGCGACCAGTGTCTCTGGAAAAGTGAGAACTAGTAGATGGGGTACACAGGTAAGATACACTATAGCCCAGGCTCTAGACAGGATTCCCCTGAGCAAGTAGGACTCGTTTCCAGTCAGTGCTCTCAGAATGCCACTAAGCACCATTCAAAACTGTTTGTCTCAGGTCCACTAGATATCCTTTAAGGCCAGGTATGGTGGTGTATGTCTTTAATTTAATCACAACACGTAGGAGACTAAGGCAAGTGGGCAGATCTCTGAGTTAGAGGCCAGCCTGGTCTACATGGCCAGTTCCAGGCCATCTGGAGCTACATAGTGAGACCTTGTCTCAAAACAAAAACAACCAAAAACAAACCCTCTGGGGATTGACTAATAAAAATTAGTTCAGGTTATTTGTGTAGCAATTTGTAGATATGTAGTATCTAACCCAGGTACCCACACTAGGTTTTTATGCCCTTAAGAAATTTTCACATGCATGCACTAAAGTGCTTGTTGCAGCACTATAATCATGAAAACCAAACACTGTCTCAGTGTCCTGGAATAGGAGAATGGGGTAAATTTTAGATTAAATGATGCAATTCCACATAACACTGAAAATAAATGATCTATAGCCTTACAATAAAAATATCATAAATACAATGTTAAGCAAATATGCTGAGAGATTTACAGAAATACACAACATAAGTTTAAAACATGAGGGGACTGCAGAGATGGCTTAGGGTTAAGAGCACTGGCTGCTCTTCCAGAGGACCTGGGTTCAATTCCCAGCACCTACATGGCAGCTCACACCTGTCTGTAGCTCTAGTTCCAGGGGGTCGGACACCCTCACACAGACACACATGCAGACAAAACACCAATGTACATAAAATAAAAATAAACATTAAAAGTTTAAAACATGAAAAATAAACTCGGTATGGTGGCACACAACTATAAAACCAGCACTTGGGATGTAAAGGCAAGAGGACAGGAAGTTCAAGGTCAGGTTAACCTACATAGTGAGAATGCCTCTCTCTCTCACACACACACACACACACACACACACACACACACACGACGAGGCAGGCATTGATGGCACAAACCTGTAACCCCAGTACTTAGGAAGCAGAAGCAGGACA